ACGAACATTTGATGATGAAAAAACAAGAATTGTCGCAGTAGTAAGGCCCTATGATCCTCGAAATGCGCCAAGAAGGCGGCTCCCTAAAATTATCGATGGCATTTTTTTTTTTGATTTTAACTTGTGAAGAACCCGAAAGACCCGAAAACGTTTGTTCGAAAAAAAAGATTCGTTTCCAATTTATTTTTTATTGTTGCCAATGTCGATGTCCTGATTAGTTTTGTTGACACACCTAATTCTGATAATTTTTAAACACATTTCCGTTATCGCCGTTATGGAAGGCCGCGGAAGGTCGTTCATTATCGTTAGTAATCTTTGTTATCATTTCTATTCTAAATATAGAGCATATCTATCATCTATGTTATATTGTCTAAGAACGTATATACACGTAACGTAATAGATTTTGAGTACGAAATTTATTCCTTAAAGAAAAATAGTCTAAGACATCATACAGGTCATCATATAGACAAACGACGTATCTAACAGGCGCGAATTTTACTCTCAATGCGGCTATTAAGCAAAAAGTACCTACTACGGGAAGTGGCGAAACAGTGTTGATAGCTATTAAGTTAAGAGGGAGCATGCCAAAAAAGTTTTGACGTTGGCTCCGCCCAAATTTGTGAAACAAATATATGCCTGAAGTTCGCGTGCCATGCGACAAGAGATGTTGAATTTTGCGCATTAAAAGTACCAAATTCGTTTTAGCGGAATAACTCTAAAACTAAAGGGATTAAAAAATCCGTAGTGACAGTTGTCGATCATGCACAAATATAATTAATTATCTAATTTTTGTCCTAATAACCTGTAGCATTTCGAGGATGAATCGAAAAAATTTGAAAATTAGAGGTCATTTCGTGATTTTTGTCTATCGAGGAAACTTTATTGTTTCATGTTTCTGATTAGAGTCTATGCTTGAATATATCGTGTAGTTACTCATATAATATTTTATTTTTAACTTTAAGGTGGATATACCCCTCTAAAATCAAATCGAAGATTAGGAATTTTTCCTCTGCTCCCTCTTAAGCAAAAAGCGATATGTTTACAGATGGGAACATCAATAAAAACTATAGTTTGGAAGCACATATTGTTAAAGAAAGATATTACACATTATAATGGTTTTAAGCCTGTGGCTATAATGGAAACATTTATAGAAAACGGAGATATTACAGATTATGGCTTACGGGTAAATAAATTAGGCTGGTTAATCTAAGAAATGCCTAACATGAAATTTGCAATCGACGAAATTCAAAGCGGTTTATTGTTAACGATCTGCTTTCCAATGAGAAAAAATGTGTGAAATTTACATTACGTAATGCAACCATCCAGCGGCATTATTGAACCGAGGTGCAGTTTTGTTTTCGGGTTTAACTCTAAATGATAAATTGCAATGGGGTCTACTAATAACTAAGCTGTTGAAACTACTCATTTCTGCAGCAAACATATAAAAGATATAAAAACTGCCTCTGTGGCCGAACGGTTCGATTCCCGGGCCGGGAGAAATATTTGTATGGCCTACAGTTATTTCTCTCGTGAGTTTGGGTGTAATTTGTGGTTGTCTGTGTGTGTGTCCATGGTACCCGCGAAACAGGGTTTCTCTAGTGCGGGGCTATGTTGAGTGTGTGCATTATTATTATTATTATAAAAAAAATCGAAAATCATCAAGTGTCGAAATCTTTAGTCATTTTTATGAAGAAGAATGACAGGCATAATATTAATATTATAAGGAACATAAATAACCTGGCCAATAAAACGTCGTAGAGGCTATGTATATGGTAAAAGCGCTGATAACCCTCAAAATTTAACATTCACGAAGATTAAAACTATTGCGAAGCAAAAACTTATACAATGTGTTACTACACAATTTTTGCGTATTTGGATATCAACAAGCCTTGGGAGTTGTGCATTTAGCTCTTTGCAGTATTTTCTATCTCGGATAATTTAAGTATTGTAAATTGTAAATGTGAGGAAATATCTATTTACAAATAGCAACATCTAGAGATTTTGCACTATTTTCATCTCTAATAAGGAGTGTTCGATAAAATCGACAATGTCAAGTGTAATTCGCTTATATCCGTGAAATAAAGATAAATTGAATATGAATTTAACATGACATGAGAACACAAAGGTATAAATCTTATGGAAGTGGCAATCAATACTAAAATCATTGCTATGATAAAATTTTCCAAATGAGTTTTGCATTTCGCAATATTTGCGATTTCGTATTGTCACCCTTATGTAAACCAATGTCTTGTTTCAAGTTTAAATATTCAGATTGTTCTTTGACGCAGAACTATAAAAAGCCTGTTACTTATAATTATACAATATTTTCGATTATTCCAATTGTTTTTAATCACGTATTTACATTATGAGTAACAGTAAATGATATCCAATGATTCAACTTTTTCTGTTTTGAACCTGACTAAGAGTTGTATTACATTTTGTTTTGAAAACAATGTGGAAACTTACTCATTCTGATAATTTATTTTATTCGTGAGTTGTTAGGTTTTCGTAATTACGTGAAAACGCCTCAATCGACTGACCATGGGACCTGTAGAGGCGGAAACGTTGAATTGTTTGAAAAAACAAATATAGGCGAGAAATTGTTTAATTTTTCTGATTATCTAAAGTGATTTAAAAGAATAATTTTTAATTAAATTTTTATTGAATTGATATTCAATTATTTTTTGTGAAATTACTCCACAGTTTGTTATAATTATTAATACAAAGATCGAACACTCAGAAAAAACATTCAGAAAAAATTCCTTGGATCCGGTCGGATTCAAACCGACGTCTTCTTGCATACCGTGCCAGACGCTATACCAACTAAGCCACGGAACGAACCAACGGACCTCACGAATTTTTCTATGTGCTGGCGTCGTGTCTTTGTACTTGGTCTTTCAACGACGGATCGAAGGAATTTTTTCTGAGTGTTTTTTCTGAGTGTTCGATCTTTGTATTAATAATTAGAATAATTTTTATTAATTTTCTTTATATAAGAACGATAAATGAATATGAACATATTTTGTATAGAAACCTTAAAAGCAAAATAATAATTAGTAAGGGGAATGAAATAAGAATTCAATAGTGCAAATTAATTTCTTTATTGCCTATTAGTATTATGAAATTTCATCGGCTGGCCGTCCAGAGCTGATCAAAGATCACATTGGAATTTCGCTACGTTTAAATTACAACGCCTATAAAGGAGTCGGTCCTGTACGGACCGATTATGTACGTAAGTAAATTCTTTGACTTAGGTGCAAGCCAATTCTTTGCTTTGCACGTGAAATGTCGCCTGTAACTTGATTAAATCGTCCTGCCTGCCGTTTGCTGCAATATTTGCGTTAAATATGTTGAACATGAGTGACATGTAGACCTCTTCCCTCTTCTCTCCACTCTTGGCGATCATGTGCCCGACTGAACCAGTCCCTACCTCCGTGTCGTCGGATGTCGTCTATCCAGCGCCGTGGTGGTCTGCCGCGCCCTCTGATATCCGCTCGGGGTCTTCATTCCAGTACTCGCCTTGTCCAAGGCCTCTCGTCCATTCCCGCAATGTACCCCACTCATGCCCACTTTCTTCACCACAATAACCATGACATCTTTAACTTATCGTATCCAAACATTACTTAGTCACTTTGTCATTGCCGTGATTATGTTCTCATTCTTCTGTAGTTTCAAGAAGTCGTATCTCTGAGGTGTGTCACAAAATGTTTGTCAGTAGGTATTGTTTTCGCGTAACTAATGCCCTCTTCAAGCGATTAGATTATTTGGATTAGTAGTACCTACGATTAACTTCGCATTCCTGCTTCAAAACAATTATTAACACACATCCTTGGTAATCAGTTGGTAGGCGCTACATTACCAAAAACAACATAGTGAAATCTAATTATTGCTTCAAATGTGGTAAGTACAATATCCGATTAAAATTTTATAGAATTCTGTTTCACAATTTTGACATACAATTTATAAACGAAGAGAACATCTCATCAACAATGTCTAGTACAAACATGCCAAAATTATAAAGCTGTTTTCCTAATTGATTCATTACATTACACATATCAACATTGTGACAAATAATTATCTTTATATAATACATTAGATTGATCAAAGCAATCGAAATTATAAAATGAAAATCATTTAAAAAAATGAATATCAAATTTTAATCAATCAATTATTGGCCTTGTTGATCTATTGTGTTTTGCACTCTTTTGATTAATCTTCTAATTCCCCTTTGATAATAATTTCTATCTTTACTGTCGTATGATCACCTCTTTGTCATGAAATGTCAATGAAACTTAAAACTTTGCCGCTTATTTTTAAAATGTATAAAATAAATTATTTTTTAAATGACCCTAGACAATAATACAACATTTGAAAATAAAGATGTTTTTGTTTCGTTAACTAATTGTTTAAAACATAACATGAATATGTTACGAAAATTTCATTTAATGTGTTTTATTTATCGAATAATATTTAATCAAACACTTAAACTTATTTTAATGGGAATGATTTTGGTGTATCAGGCAAATTATTCATATTTTGACACACGATGCCCCACCTTTTATGCCATTTGTGGTGGAGTACCCATAACCAGTCTGTATTGGTGTCCAACGCATCGGTTTTGAAGATCTTTAGTTTACTTGAATTGAAAACCTAGTTAGAGACAATGCCACAGGTCTGATCAAGTCGTAACCCGCACATTGCTCGCACACATCTTTTCTGTGCTATTAAAATTAAATTTGCTAGTTCCTTGGGTCAACGGTCTAGTTCTTGGTCTATGATTACAAAAGACCATTCTGAGTCCTTCTCTGACGTCAGGCTGATTGTAGGGCGTTCAGGTTTTTCTGAACGACACTATCCTCTCTTCTTGTTTGTACGTGAAAAGTCCACGTTGTTCATTCGTCTAAATTTCACAAGTTTCGTACTTCCAGGTGACGAATGACACGTGTTGTTACTCGTGTGTTTGTGTATGGGGTACCAAGTGCTTTGTACACATGGCAGTACGTACTTATTATTGTAATAACTTACACGAAGTATGTCAAGTCCGGAAGTCGCATTATGGCGACCGCTTCGTGACATTCGTGACTATTTTACTAAAACACCATGAAATAACTCACTTTACATAATAGGGACTTGCCTTCCATCATCACTCGACCTCCATATTCTAACAATTTCGTTTTAACGCGAAGAAATGTGAGAGCTCTTCATGCATTGGCAACCGTATCTATTATAAGTTGATCTTTACGTTAAAGTTGCGAAGTTTGTCGGTGAATCGTTTAAAGGGATCAGTAATAAGTGGTCATATGCGACTGACATCTTCTTTATTTCATTTATGTGCATAATTTATTGGATAACAACACTGTCTCACTGTTAAGCCTTTGGTTGCACTGCCGGCTTTGAGTGTGCTTCACACAATAACGTTATATCGAGATTTCCTGTCTTTTGAGACAACAATAACTAAGCCCTCGTTTCTCACGAGTTTAAAATTTTACCATTTCTTACAATGTTATTTGTTTTAGCTGAACATAGCTACTTACCGCCACTTTTCATCGGTATTTGCCATAAAATGTTACTTTCTAAGCCAATTGTTGCAAAATCAAAGCAAATACTTCAGTGATGAAAAGGCTCAAAAGCCAAACTACAGAGTTTGTAAAGCAAGTATTTGTAAACGTTTTGGTTCATATCCTTTTTGATTTTGGTAGCCATTTATACGTAAAAGTGTCATTTTTTGGGAAGGATATTTCTTCGATTAAACAGATGGGACAGCTTCAAAATTTAACTCAACTACATCAATAGCTCATTTGTGATATGAGTAGCTTTTATGCTTTCTTCCCCGGAAATATCGGAATATTTAAGAAAGTATTTATAACTTTAACTTGAAACAAAGCAATATATAACGCCTTAAGTGCCAACTTTCCAACACAGACAAATGCACCGAAAAAGGCGTCGATCAACTCAGACCAGCTGTCATAATTAGCAGCAGTCAAGCCGGTCGGTCTTCTTCCTCAGACACTGTCGGGCTTAGTGATGTAATCACGCCGATCGATCGATATATTTGAAGGTGTTTCAAGGTCACATTTGATGTTCGACACGTGTAGTCGAACGAAGGTAAGTCTGTAAATCTGAAGGTAAACTTTTTACATGGAAAAATCAAAACGAAAGCACGTCTCTTAAAGATCGATTTTTATTGCGAGTTACTTTGCATAGAGGAAAAGCGTATAGGCCAATTTGTTTTTATATTTCAATTAACAAATCTGCTAGTAGAGTAATTGAAACTCTTGATGATCATGATCTTCGTCTGAAATGCTTTTTATAGTCTAGATGCTGATTATCTTATTAATTTTCTGCTCGTTGCATAACGAAGTGCAGCAATGTCAATATGAATGCAAAGCATTTCCCGGTATTCTAACGATTTGAATTAATTACCTTGCTACTACCGCACCACGAATAGTCATTCGCGGTACTTTGTCTTATGAATGACTTGTTAAAATTGTGTGCACGCGTTCGCCATGCGCTTTGATTTCATGATTTGTAACTGGAAAAGTGCTACACGTGTCAATAACTACACGTATTATTCTGTCAAAGTGGAGCTTATGAACACCATAAAGTGCAGGAACATGTCGTTGTTCGGCCACGTAATGAGGAATAATAAGGATAAATTAGTCCATCTTATCATCCAGTGCTAAATCGCGTGAAGTGTCAGTAGAAGATGGTAAAGTCAGGATTGCCTTGCTGATGTTTTCCAAGCTCCGGAGAGGAACCTCAAGAAGAAGTTTCTGTTACTTCAAAGGGCTGTTCTCCTCGGGAGATTACGGTACCTATACTCTACTCTTAAGAGAGGTCGAGGAATCAAAAAGTATTAGTGTATAGTAATTTACGTAGGTAAGCCGATAAAGAAATGCGGCAATGCGAAACTTCTACGAGTATATCAGCTACTAACTGAGAGAATGAATTTATTTGGCATACTGATGCGTTTTGTTATAATACGGAGCAACTACGCCACCAGCACGCACATACACATAATGTCGACGGTGAATATTTATTGGTTTATTTGTTAACAATAAATCTGTACAGCATTAAAGCTGTATGTGCCGTGCAAGGCATCGTAGACAGTGTGTAATGCCTTATTTGAAGGTATACTCAGGACCGGCTCTACCATTGGACGAATGGACGAATGAAGCGGCCTCAGGGGGCACTTTGGTGGTAAAGTAAAATAAATAATAGTCAGCTTATATATAGTCCCACTACTGGGCATTCGCCTCCTCTCACAATGACAAGACTTGGGCTGTAGATGTCGGATTGGGAACTTCAGACACATCATTATATTGTTTTGCAGATATGTGCAGGTTTCAAACGGGGTTTTCCCACATGGTAAATTTCAAACTAAATTTCGTACATAAATTACGAAAACTCAGAGGTGCAAGCCCGGTTTTGAACCCACTATCCTCTGCTTGAGAGGCGGTAAGTCTAACGACGGCGTCCACGGCGATATAGATCAATAAAGGCAAAAAATAATAATTTTCTCTTTTTTTCGACGTTCTGTTCACGAGAGTGGGGCTAGTGTGTCGATGACCTCAGCATACTGAAACGACAGGATCTTTTTACATATTTTTAAGTTTTATTGAATAGGAATTCATAGGCGTGTCAATTGTCAACTACTTGTGACTTTCTGATGTGTTAGAAGCGTTTACTTAATAATAACGGCGTGGCAGACAACTACGCCACTTACCAGTTCTCAAAGTAAGGAATTCCCTTTACATTGAGTACGAAAGCAACTGATTCGGGGTACTCAGGATACCGACACCAGAACCAATTTAGAATTGTTCATTAGTTCCTTTTCGAAATCGATAGAACACGGGACCTCTTCATCAAACGCCTACAGTTCACCATTGGGCCACCGGACGTCGTCGTCATTGTGAGGCGGGCAGTGCCAACGAGCATGGACGTTTTCTGATTTGAGATGTTGTCGAAATCTTTTAAGTTCTATGTTTTCACATATGACTGGTTTAATGTTATTATAGATATTATAGACCCTTAGTTCGGTCTCGTTCCTTAAACTAGCCTCGGGGCGCCACTGGGTAAGCTTGACATATTTATAATAATATTTTTTTTTGTTTCAGATGCCTGTGACAACAGTGCCAGTGAGTATTGTTGCTCCTTTATGAATTTTATAACATATTTTTGGTCCTCGTCACCCGTTAAACGCTCCGCTACTGGGTATTCGTTTTCCTTCCCGGAGTTTAGGCCGCAGTCCATCATGCTGACCCTACGTTATAATAATAATAATCATTTAATAATCAATATTACTGCTACGCATAAAAATATTAAACTCATAGATTCATGCCGCTACAGGGTGTCCGACATAGACCTCTTAATTAAGAAGTAACCGCTCTTCCACTGGCCTAGCACCGGTCTTTACATCTTTTATTCATATTTTTGGTAATACAACGGAATTGGCGAATTAACGGTAAAATACTTTTATACTAGAGCGATGTACCCATCAAACAGTTTTAAATTTGTAAAGTTCGATGATCTCATAAATCAATGGCGTTGAAATGGGTTTTTGAACGTTCAACTGAATCGGAAATGTTAAGCAGTCAAATTTAATGCGACACACCTCTACTGAGTGTTGTTGCGGCATAAACATGTGTATGACGATTTATTGCGAACATGTTCCACAAAGCATGTTTCGTCGTCCACATCCATCAATAGGTATTTTAGTTACGTGGGTCAAATAGGCGACTCAAGTGCCTTCTCGTAATATCATCTCAGTTTCAGTGACACTTGCAAATAATAGGTGTAAGTCGAAATAAGTGACAGTTCGCGAATGAAACTGTGCAAATAACAAATATTAAATGTCAACAATCGGTTTCGACTGTGTAACACACCTACGAACACGCGTTGCCCAAGTGCGAACGGTAGACGATTCTCACGGGGACGCCGCGTCGGGCGGTGGACGGCGCGACGCGAGTTTGATGTGTGGGCGCACGGAATTATTTTGTTTTTTCTAGTTAGCAATCGTTGAGTGTACTTGGTGCCAGTTTTTACGCAGCCGAGTGTTTCTGAAGCACCGTCTCGTCGAAAGGGAAAGCGTAATGGTACTACTGCTGTTAGCAAAAGCTGTTACAAAACAAAGTCTTACACAATTTCTATTCAAATTAATATGTCGTGTGGAAACGCAAAACGCATACGAGTTTCTATGATATTCTCTGTTTTAACGTTGAAATTACCTTGGTTAATTACTGCTCTGTGTACTTTGTTCACACGAGACACCCTTCTGTCGCGATGGCCAACTGATGTCGTAGTTAGGACAATTTTTACATGTGTATGTAAGGAGGTGTTTGTAATTGAGAATAGTGTAAATGAATACAACTATCGAGTTTTTAGGTTTTCGCGATTGTTACACGCAGGAAATGAAACTATTTTTCCGGATTTAAATCGCAAGTATTTATTTTTTTCATACAAACCGACGTTTCGGGCCCTTTACAGGTCCATTGTCACGGTTGACCAGGTTGGTTTGTCTGAAAAAACAAATATACGCGGTAAATCCGGAACTATAGTTTCATTTCCTATGAGTACAACTACTTCAGCAATGTTGGGCCATTGCGCAACAGACGCACTACGCGTAACAACAGCATGAAAGCACTACATGAATGACCGCTGTTAGGACGGCCATCATTAACGCGGAGTGTGCTAAGTCGATCAGAAAATGCTTCATGTCCAATAAGTGCGAAACGCACATTGACTATTCTGTGTTGTTAAGTGTGGTGACTCCTTTAAAGAACTGCTTAGTTTGTACCGGAAAAGAAAATTAAATTCTACATTACCTACACAATTATGGTTTCAAAGTCCACGTTAAATTCTAAATAAAATAACTACCCGTAGACGTATCGATAAATTTATGTGCAAAAATATATTTGGTTATTCAATTGTTAATTTCAACGCCCTAAGTGCCAACTAGTTGAAAACTCACAAGGGTTGGTTGTTATGCTTTGCCATTTATGTTACGTAGAAACAAGCGGTGGTCTGGATCAGCAGGGTTTGAAGGTTATCATCTGATACCGGAAGGGACGGAAGGAAGTAGTACACATACAGCAAGAGGTATATAATTTACTTTTAAGTGTGTTTAGCTCTTAAAGGTTAGGTGAATATACTTTGTCTAATCCGATCTGCGGTTATGATATAGTGACAAAAACACAATTAAAATATTTTTGTATTCTGCTTTACATCTACAATTATCTTTCTGGGTGGCTGGCTCAACTAGGCGGTTCGTTAATAGATTTTTATGCGATGCATTATCTAAAAAACGCTCCGGGGTAGCAGCATCTGGCGATGGCATATACTTTTATTAGTTTATTCATGCATCATCACAGTCCAGAGTGCTTGAAGGCCGCCACCCTCGACGCTAGAAATCAGAAATCAGAAACATTTGTAACTTTTTCTAAAATAAACTGACCCCAAAAGTTCGTGGAATTACATCTATTTGCCACGTTTTATTGAAATCGGCTAACGGAAAGTGGGTGTAATCCAATAAATCGGATTCATCCTCTAGTTTGCCACCCTTAGAGGTGATTTTTTTTTATTTGAATGGGGCGACTGAGGCAAGAAGAGAAGAGAAGAAGAGAAGAGAATCGACGAAATCGGTACACAATTGTCGGAATATTCGCTCAATATATATACCTACATATCGAGTTCTTAGGTTTTCGCGATTGTTACACATA